AATGACCAATATAAAATTATCAGCAATTAGAGCTTCCTATTTGGCTCTGCAGGTGGAGAAAGGAAGCCTGCCCTTGCAGATCAGCCTGGTGTTTCCTGTATCAGTAGGGGTGGCCAGAAGACTTCCACTCCTTAAACTTAAATAGCAAGGAAGCAGAATCATCTTGTCAGAGTAAGGCTCTAATGAGCCATGAGATTAGCCGTGGGAATAAATTAAACTGGAAACTTGTCAACTGGACGTTCTGCAACCGAAAATCAAGCTGGACAGCTAGTTGATGCTGGTTGTCTTTTTAATTTAGTTTTTGTACTCTTGGTTGTCTTTTCTTGGTTCTTCAGTAAATTATAACATTAAAAGCTCCTGCACTGCTGAAAGTGGCTTCTTCCTCCATTTCTCTGTACATGGTGCCTTCTAAAGCTATAAAATAGGATGAGGAAGGAAACAAGGACTGCAGGCCATGGGACCAAGGGCAGCACTGGGGGAATCTAAAAGCATTCTTCAGTTGTATTTAAGCCTCATGGCTTTGTTTCTCTGTGTGCCCAAACTTTGTTACTTGAAGAGTGAAGCACTGTTCCAAGTGAGTGAGGGCATTAGAATCTGGCCCTTAATAATCAGCATTGCTGAATGTCCTGTGTTTTCTGGAGTTGTTCCAGTTTCACTGCAAAACTGAAAACTAACATGTGATGTTTGGATGCCCCGTGGTTCCTTAGCTGCCTTATGAACACCAGGGTAGGGAGAGAAACCATAAGGAATGTAACAAAGTAGCATATATTCCCACTGAAGTTACCTGGGGGGTGAGCAGACTCAGAATTTTGCATGATTGAGTAATTAGCTTTTTGTCTTACCCAGTTTAGTCTTACCAGTCAGTTTTACCTTGGTGTCCCTAATTCGCATCCAGAGAGCTCTGGTTAACATTTGCCAAATGACCATGAGTTGGGCTTACTTAAATAAATTGCTTCCACTCAAATAAAAAAGTAACTACATATTTTGTAAGAACATTTCTGTGATATCAGCTTGTTTTCACAAACCCTAAATTGCCCTCCTATTGCCCTTTTTTAATACTGTTCTTATCCTGTGTGCAAGCCATCATTGTAACCACAGGAAAATGAGGCCAATCAGGACCATGAATAGGCTCTTACAAAAGATCAGGCTGATCAGAGAAATAAAGGCTAGATAAAGACACAATTACTAATCTTCTGTATTCAGTGGAAACCAGTGGATATAATAGCAACATTTCAGATAGATAAAGCCCCGTTTTAATTCCTGAATCTGCAGTAGCTTGTTCCTTTATTTCCTTCAGCACATTTTTATGAATTAGAAATGTCATGATATTTGTTCAGATCTGCAAGAATGGAAAAACTTCTGCTTGGCGGCAGATCTCTGAACAAAGGGCTCTGCTGGCACCAAAGTTGAATTGTTTACAATAGGTCTAGGTTTCCTGCTCTGTTTCACTTTTAAGCAAGAAATTGAGGTGACGGATGTTTTTTCTTTTGAACTTGTTTTCCAGTTGCTTTCTTGTCAAAGCCACAAGAGCTGGTTACTCCAAAGAAAAAAGGGAATGGGAAGAAAAGGAGAAAAGGCAAAGGCATGGGGAAGAAGAGAGATCCATGCCTACAAAAGTATAAGGACTTCTGTATTCATGGAGAATGCAAATACATCAAAGAGCTGAGAGCTCCATCCTGCATGTAAGTAGAAAAGAACCTCTGTCCTAGGGAAACCTTAGTCATTGTTCCTTGAATTCTCTAAACCACACAGAGGAAGAACGCAGGAGATATTTTTAGTTTGTCCTCTTGCTCTGTAGGATGCTATTCTGACTTCCTGGACCTTTTGTTTTTTGAGTTTTGCATCACTTTGGTGCACTTTAAGAAACCACAGACTGTTGTTGGTCTTGTTAAAGGCACATGTTCAGAAAAATGTCCCTTATGTCTCATACATCAACCTTCCATTGAAAACCCCAACACTATGGGTGCCAAACAAAATTAACTGACTTCTGCCTGAGCTCTGTGTTTGGCCTACAAGAACTTGGGATAACACAGTTTACCTTTTGTTGACTGAGCCTGTTGCAGGATGTCTTGTAGCTATTTACATTGAAAAGTTATTTTAGGAGCCTGTTGTCAAATACCTTTATCCTGACTTTCAGAAGACTGATGCTCATAACCCTTGTGAAGGTCCATAGGAGCTGAGGTGTTCTGCTGTTTTGAAAATCGGGCCTCATGAGAACTCCAGTGGAGTCGGTCCCAATGGACTCAGTGTGCCTAAATGGCACCTGAGCTCTCTTGAAATTTTGATATAGAGGTCTCAAGTCAGGCACCCCATAATGGAAATAACTAAAATATTTCTGAATGGAGCTACTGCTGTATCCACAGGTCTTCTGATTAAGTCTTTCCTGCAGTATATCATATAGGCAGTAGCTCTGGTTATGATTTGGGCAGGAAAACAAAAAAAAAGTTCATGAAGAATCACTGTGAATAGGGAAAAGCAGGAGGCTCTGCTTATGTGAAAAGATGGCCTTGGGAGTCTGACAATGGCACAGTTGCAGGGTATTATTTCCTAACCAAGAAATTGCTCTTTTAATGTCATCAAAGCACAGGAAACAAATATTCTTCTTCATTATCATGCATATATCCCTTCTAATCTTGTGAAGTCTAGCAGAGGGATCCATTAGTCTGCATAACAGTTTGGCCAAGAAAATGGCAGGAGCTGAAAATTAAAGCCCTGAAGAATACACCATTGGGATTGATTTAGCATTGACTAATGGGAAGCGGACAGAATGCAACAGAGTTGTTTTCATCTCTGACTTCTAGGATTCTGTTTGAGCCCTGTAAGTGAGCTACTCTCTCCTAGAGTCCCCAGTTGGTCCTGCTCCTCAAACACTATCTTGCCATGATGGTGGCTTATGCGTAGGGATCTCCATAAATCGCAGAGGAAGTCACCCTCCCCCCTCCGGGCCCACAACCCCACAGCAGCTCCTTTTTAATTTTTTCATTTCACCACTTGCCTGCTCCGCTCACCCCCGCAGCTCTGCTGGCCAGCCCATTTTCTCATGATTGCCGGGGAAGTGAAAACCACAGTTTTAAATAGGCTGCAGTTTTTGCCAGCCTGCTGCTGATTGGCAGATGGGCTTTGGTGGCCCTGCTGCTTGCTGCTGACCTGCAGGGAGGCAGAAACCATGGCATATTTAAAACTGCAGTTTTTTCGCTTCCCCAGCAGTCAGCAGCAAACAGCCTGGCCAGTGGGACCCTTCCACCCATCCAGGGCAGAGAAGGGCAAGCAGAGAAACAAAAAAAAAATTTAAGGAGCGACCGGGGAGGGGATTTCCTCCACAATCCCATGGACTGGAAAGAAAAACTTTTTCCATCCCTTCAAATGTAACAACTCTGTTTGCAGCACCCTTGCATCCCAGTAACTTGGATGCACTGGTGGGAGAGGGAGGAGAACCTGTTGCTCTAAATGGCTCTGTCCCATCTCCAGGCAGTTTGGCCTTGGCAGCTGGATTTGTAGGCAGCAGTTTTGAAAGCACTTGAGGTGGCAGCCTGCCAAAAGTGTGTTGAAGCTGTTTTGTGGAGGCCTGTTCCTCTGTTTTCCCAGTGTCAGGCAGTGTCCCTATATGCTGCTGCTGCTACTTTTTCTACCTGTTACCTTGCCTGTTCCAAGTGCCTTCTGTCTGAGGATCTCAGAGCTTTCAAGCACTAACAAACCAATTTCCTCACCATCTCCAGGAAGTAGGTAAATATCTGTATTAACCATGCTGCACAGATGAAGAAGCTGAGGCTAAAGAGGGGTTTTCTCTTTTTGTAATTTGGACACCTGTTCACTAGGGAATGGCCTGACGCCCACTGGCCTGTATCTCATGATGTGGCACAGAACAGCCATCTGAATGCAGACTAGTGTTGATGTAGGCAACATTTGAGCAGGTGGATTTGAAGGTTCTGACACTATTGTCAGTTCTGAGTCACTCATCCAAGTCCCTGAGCTTGCTGCAAATAATAGCTCTCTGACTTATAGTGTGCAACTTCTTGAGCATTGAAATTTTTGGGCAGCTTGAAACCACAGGGTAAGCGGGTATGTCAGCACTGCTACTTATTCCACCCCACATGTTTGCACTGTAGTCCAAACCCATTAACTATCCACATTAAAAGCCCCTTAACTGCTTTCCAGAAGCAGTTAAGTTCATCTGCAGAAGCTCTTCTGAGAATTAAGGCCCAAGTTAAACTAGAGTCTTTTTTAGGAATTGGTTTTCCCAATACTTGTCAGTTTTCTGTGTTTGGTGTGCGGTGGTGACAAGATGATATAGATGAGGATGAGTGACTCATCAGCTTGGGTTAACCACAACTAGCAGTATAGGGTTGACCCAGTGTATGTGTATGGACAGGGCTCCCTGGTATACTTATTGGTTAGACTTCTTTAACCAGAGCTGCCTGCTATGACATGCCATATAGATCACCTACAGAAGAAGGTGCCTGGACTTGAGCAGGTTGTTTGAGTGCAAAGGTTCTGGCTTAAAATCCCCTAATCTAGGACTGGGGAGTCACAGATAGACTCCATTGTTCTAAAAGTTCCTCTTCTCATCCCCAGCTACATTATCCTTACAAGAGTAGGGGCTCTGAAATGGCTTAATAAGGACTTTACCACTTCTTGTTAAAGGAAAGAGTCCAGAATTTCTCATTGTGTTACTGTCTCTTGTTACCCAATAGCCAGTTCCAGAGAAAGCTGAGTTACTGTGAACATTCCTGCCTTCGTCCTATCAAACTGCATCTTAATTCATCTTCAGCCTGTCTGTCTGCCATTTGCATTTCATTCTGCTCTCTGTTCCCATTAGCCAGTTCCATCTCTAGTACAGGTTTAGAATATGCCAGGGCAGGGAGAGTTCATGGCACTGGCAGTATCTGGTTCTCGAGAATATGAAGAGCTTGTCGAAGGCCATCTTGTTCCTCAGTCCTTCTGTTTTTTTGCCTTTGGTGTAACATGAGTATTGTTGTCTGGGGTGACACTGACCCATGGAATGTGCTGTATTTAATGGAGCTCTCTCAGCATGGGACACTTGATCATGATGTTTGGAATGTGTTCACATGTTTGGTGATAAGCTCATCCTTCTCTGATTGGGTCTTGTCAAGGGTCTGGGAGTATAAGTGTTGTATATATTAAGCTGTTTACATTATTATCCTTTGACTCACTGAGAGGGGTTTTTGGGTGACTGGCCTCTTTGCTCTGATGCAGATTTTATTTCTGCTAGGTGAGTAACTACCTGGATCCAGGGGAGTTTCATGTGTTTGTGTGTGGGGAAATGACCCTATGAACAAAGTGTTTTAAATCTAGGTCCTTTCAGTTAAGGAACACAAAGTCAGCTCTGTTCTCAGCTTTCTCAAATGGGACTTCCCCTCTCTGAAAGTGGGAAGTTGAGGGTGTGATTACTGTGCTAAGTCCTAATAAGAGCTATAAAAAGTTCCCAACCCCTCAAGTGCAAATAGGAACCAGCCACCCCTGGCTAGAACTTCTGTGGGAGTGAGCAACACTTCTGCCAGCTCATATTTTAACTGACCCCCATCTCACTATGTACCCCATGGGAGCAGGAATGCTTCAGGGGTGTGTAATGACTGAATTATCCCAGGTTTTATTGACAGATTGTGTCCCAGTTCCAATGCTTGGGTCTGCTTCTCTACTAATCTTCTGTGCCTCTTGTGCATTTGAAGGTAGATTTCCAGGATTTGAGTGCTGAAGGTGACTTGGTGCAAACAGCTGTCATGGGCGAGGGCCAGCCAGCACACACTACACAGCTATTTGACACACATAACTGAATGATTTCATTTGCATAGTCACCTACTGCTCTAGTGAAATGAAGACTACCCTGGGATGGAGGTCATCAGTAAAAACTACCTCAACACCCTGCACACCACTGGGGTGTGGAGGCAGTTGGCATAAGGCTGCCAAGGCAAGATCTCTGAATATGCCCTGGGAATCTCTAATATTCAACAAGGTAACGAGATCCTTGAGGAGGATTAATATCTAACCTTTAAGTACCACAGTTAAACTTTCATTGCCATATAAGTGCAGTTTTTGGCACTTATATGGCTTTTAAATTCTCTGTGTGTCCTGAATAGGTGTCCAGATACATTTGTAACTTCTGGAAGTGAAGCAGAGATGGAGCCTTCCTGCCTTTCAGCCCAGGAGCCTAGTGATTAGGTCACAAGTCCAGGGGGTGGGAAATCCAGGTTCTAGGCCTTACACAGGAGGGATTTGAACCTGTATCTCCCCCTTCTCAGCAAAGTGCTCTAACTATGAGGCAATGGGGAAGGGCTCGCTTAAATGTTGGCCCAATGGACAGCCAAGAGGGCAAGAGCTATATGGGGCCAGGAAGAAGAGAACAAGCTAGAGGGAGTGTAACTCAGTGAGGGGGATATTGACCCCGGTGCCTTTTCTGCACTTTGCATATACTATCCACTGAATAAACAGCAATGGGATAGTTTATACCATAATGGGACAGGGACGCGGACCAGAATCTAGGGGCCTTACCTTCCAGGGCAGTCTTCCTGTCACTGAGTTATGCTCCTTGTAGCTTGCTTTCTTCCTCCTGGCCCCACATGATCTACTGAGATCCCTTCGGACCCTAAAAATCTATGAAATTATGAAAATCTGTATCTTCCCCTCCTTGCTGCCCAGTGCGCCAGTTTCCAGAGGAGCATGCTCAGGGTAATATCTAGTCCATGGCCTGACAGTTAGAGAACTCTTCTAGGAAGTGAGAGATGTGGGTTCAGTCCCTCTGGATGGCCAGTGGGAGCTAGAACCTGGGTTTCCCACTCCTATAGACAGTGCCCTAACTACCAATATTAGGCTGGTTGAGGAGGGTCCCCTTTTCTGCCTTTCAGCAGTCACTAATTGCAGCTTTTCTCTGACCAAAGTTTTGGGGCCCATACAGTTGTGTGCACCCAGACAATTCTAGTCTCCCCTAGAGGTTGTGTGGCCCAGGGACAGCTTTCTGGGTATGCTCTGAATGGAAACAGGGCAAACACAGTTATGCAAATGGAATCTAAACTCTGTGTGAATACCAACACTTGCACTTATGCAACTGTATAAGTGTCACTAACACTCACAAAGGTGAAGCAGGGTTTTTGTCTTTGGTTTCTCAAGCCTTACTGAGAAGAGCTTATTATGGCAAATTGCATGGAATCTGATATGCTTCTTGTTGGAAGATGAAGGGCTGAGGCCATCCTGCTGGGAATCCAAACCATTCAGGGTAATCCCAGCCTGATGTTCACTTAGAAAACACCCATTTTTGTATACTAGGAAAACCATTGGGAAAGTCAGCCCTGCATCCAGCAGCAGTGTCAAAGGGTACTAGCAGGGTGCTGAACTGGACACAGCAGTGGGGAAGACAGAAGAAAGCAAGAAGTTTTCTTTTGATAGTATTCACATTGCAGGGCCTTTCCCCATAGAAAGAGAAAACTGTCCTGGAGTAGGTGCCACAGAGGCCAGCAGTGGTGACAGTGGGGCTGAAGGATCTTGGTGCTGAGGAAAGGGTAAAGGTAATGTCTGGACCTTGCTGGAAAATAGCTGCTGAGCTGTCCTAAGGCAGAGAAAAGAGGTGGAGATGCTCTATGATACTTGAATGGAAGGGGCTGTGCAACATTTCTGGTGATTATTAACACCCTGATTAAGGCTTGGCTCTCATAGTACCCTATTACTGCTGCCTTTAAAATGCTCTCTTTTCTCTCTAAACTAGATGCCAGCCAGGATACCATGGAGAGAGATGCCATGGCCTTACCCTCCCTGTTGAGAATCCCTCCACCAGTTACGACCACCCTACAGCATTGGCTATTGTGGCGGTGGTGCTGTCATCCATGTGTCTCATTATCATCGCTGCATTGCTGATGCTCAGGTGAGAGGAAAGGTGGATGCAATGCTGTATTAGCAACATACCCCAAAGCTTGACCTACTCCACCCATGATCTCACCTACTTGGCCCTACTAGGGGTGAACCAGTTCCCAATATTTCTGGGGAGATGCCTTCTTTACCCCAGCCTTGGCAATCAGTAAAGTAGCTCATATGGGATGCAGGAGGCCTCCTGATTCAGTAGCTGATGTCATGTGGCCTGAGCTAACCTTGCTGCCTAGGCTGTTTTATCATGGAAGGATTTGTTCTCCATTCTACCTGGGCTTCTATGAACCAAATTTAGTAGCAGAGTGTGAGATTAGGAGGATCTGCAGTGATTTGAAGCTGCTGCAGTCTTCCTTCCTGGCAAGAGATGTAGAGCAGCTGGTGCAGAGCAGAGTTAGTGTTTACCTGGGAGTCGGTGTAGCCAAGGGAGATAGGACATGCATGGCTTCACTATATCCCTGATACAATCTCTAGCTTTGGAACCACCAGCTAAACATAGACTACAGGCCTATAGACTTCCCCACTGAAGCCAGCAGGAGCTTTGGACCTGAGTACGGTGGGGCCTGGCTGCAGTAGTGATCAACCCTTTGCTGAACATCTGTCTGCTTGATTTGCAGGTGTCACAAAAGGGGTGTTTATGATGTGGAAAATGAAGAGAAAATTAAGTTGGGCATCGCTGTAAACCCCTGATGGCATTAGAGCCCTGCAAGGTAAGTCTTCAGCACAGGCAAAACAGCATGGCATAGGCAGCCTTAGCCTAGCTTTAGCCAGGCCCACGTACAATGGAAGTGGCAGATAGCTGCTCACAAGAACTTCACTGGGTGCTGTATGTTTTCCATGCCCCTAAGCCAGCTCTGTACTCCCATGCAGTCTGACAGTGATTTGCACTTCCCTTTGGGACTGGTGGGGAGCATGGTGTTTGAGCACTTCCTAATTATGTTATCTGGGATTGGATAAAAAATAAAGATGAACTCTTTAAATCCTTACAATGATTTGATGGGATTCAGCCTGTCAACTAGAGAAAAACCATGACTCTGCTTTTAGTACCTCAGCCCTGCCACCCTCCTAAAGTGAACGCATTACTCCACGCCCATCTCTGGCTTTCTGGCTAAGCCAGTTCTGAATTCCCCAGATGATTTCTGATGGACTCCAGGGCCTTGCTCCACCCAACCACACTCAAATCTGTTACTCCTCTATTCCTTCCCTTCCCTGAATAACTCACTCCCCTGCTTGCTTATTCATTGAATCCCCCAGCCAGTTCCTCTGATCTGTCAGTGTCTCATCTCATAACCACCTACTCTCAAGCTTGCCCCTCTGGTTTTGGCTTTCTTTCTCAGCAGTTGGGGGCTGTTTTTTCACTCATTCTGCTCCAGCTCTTCAGAACTATCTCTCTCCCTCTGATCTCCTGAGTTATTTCCCCTTCCTTAAATGTTGCCTGAAACCTAAAATAAATAAATAAAGCAACTTCCTTTTCACTCCTTGTCCTTCCCTTATTACTTCATCATCCTTTAATTCTACTTCAACCACTGTTGTAATGCAATCCAGCTGGGCACAGTTTTCTTTACTGCTTTCAATGTTATGTAACATTGCTGTGCACTGTGAATCATGCAGTGCTTCACCTCAGAGGTGACTGCATTTCCCTGGTGAGCAGGCACTCGGAAAAAGGGAAAGGGCTGGGAGTTCTTTCCCGGCTGGTCCAAACACTGACATCAAATACACTTTCCTTTTTTTTTAAATCAGGAAAATATTGTACACATTGCATGGGTGAACTAATGTCTCAAAAAGGACAGTAACTAATGTCCCTCACCATTGCCCATTAGCTACTGGGTTAGTTAGAATAACAGTGGGTGTCATTTTGGGGGAGGATGGGAAGAGATTTAATGATGAAGACATGTCTTGCCTGTTGATACAATTAGATTTAGATTTACCCAAACTCTTCTGGCAGTGAGTTCCAGAAGGAGTGTACTGCAGCCAACAAAATTCTCTTCTCTTTGCAGCCATCTTGATACATCTCCCCCACTTGCAAAGTGCTTTATGATCCCCAATAATGGACAAAATAAATTTGTCTTGATTCTGGAAAGTGCAAAATAAGCACAGCTATCTGGGATCATTTAGATCTACCTACTTCTTTCATGCTGCTGGATTCCCAGCTTCTTTTAGGGTCTAATCTTGCAAGGTTCTAAGTGTTTCTTATGAGGTGCTCAGCACCTTTCATTCCCACACAAGTCAGTAGAAGCTGTGTCTGGGTGCTGCAATAATTACTTTGGCCCTGATTCAGTAAAGCACTTAAGCATATGCCAGAGACTCTCAAACTGCAATCCATGGGCTGAAGAGCTTTTCAGAATTGGCATCTTTGTGTTGCAAGTGCCCCTGCATGAGGATTCTGCATCTGATGCCAAATAGTGTTGGCTGCATAAGGCAAAAGTCTTGGTATGAAATGAACCAGATCTGTGCTGTGTTTTATTTCAGGATTCAGTGGTGAAGCAGTTCTGCCTTCATGAAGAAGCAAGACACAGTGATTAAAGTTCTATTTATTGGCCTTATTTAAAAATCAGTGGAGAGTTTGCTGGAGCGGAAGTGGCATGTCTGTGTTTAGAGGTTGTCATATAATTGCTTCACTAAAACATGCATCTCGGTGAGTAAAATTTGATGTCCTGAAGTGGAAGAAGTTACAGGAAAGATGCTTTCTGCTGGAGACTTTATTTACCAACAGAATTGCTCAAGGAGGCCTGGTTGAATGCACTCATGAAGAGAGAAGAAAAAAATGGACCTTGGCTTTCCAGCTTTAGTAGGGGCTGGGAAATGAAGTAACTACAACCAAACACAAATTTGGATCCTTCAGATATACTCTGAGAAACTAACTGTGAAAGACGTCAACTCCGAGGAGATCTGAGTTCGGGGATTTATTAGACTGGGGGGGTGGGGTGAGGGCTATTTAACAAGATATTTTTCATTTTAAATTATATATTTATTTTAGATATACTGTGTATAGTATTTATTTAGGGTCTGATCCTACAGTCCTGCAATCAGTGGGCATTTTGCTAGAGTTAACAGTGGATTGGCCCTTAACTTTTGTAAGTGCAATGTAATGGTCTAATAAATAACACTTTGTTACAAACTCTTAGACTTTTAATACTGACTAGAAAAGCAGCTAGACCATTTTAATATAACAATGTGTATCAATGTGCCCTTGCTAACCTATTGTCTGTGTGTGTGTCATGTGGTATTATAATGGCAAAGATGCAGACAGTAGGAGGCAAATCTTGTATGCGAGTATGGAAGCATAAGCTACTAAAGCCAGTGGAGACATTTTACGTTTGTCTTAGAATAAATTAGAACAGAGTTTGATCCCATGGGCCCAGTCCTGGTCCCATAGAATTGAACAGTAAAATTCCAATAGAATTCCAGCTTGGAGCTGTAATATGCCCAAAATTGTACTACCCAATCTGCACCGTCGACCCTGATTCTCAGCATTCAGACATGGACCAGCAATGCAGTCCCTCTCCCAACCCTGTGGGGTGAGCAAGATGGTGCTGAGATCTGATCAGAGATCATCATCAGAGGATAGTCTAAAAGATTTGAAAATGGCTGCCTGCCTCCTCTGTTTCTATTGCCAAGAAACAGCATAGCAGAATCTCACTTAGTGGGAGATATTTAAATATGTTGAGTAAATGCAGCTTCACTCAGGTCTGAAGTTGGTCCCTTCTATCTAAACACTTTTATTATTCAAAAACTGTGCTAGTACCTACTTCAGCCCATGCAATGAAAAATAAAATGGTGTGGGGCAGGGGCTTGTTTGATTAAAACAGAAGTCAACACCTGGAATCAAAAAGTTCAGGAGACAAAAATTAAGGGGAGGACTAGCCATCAATATGCTCTTCAGGACCCCCACTACAACTCCAAAGTTTTTTGGTATTCCTTAGGAGGCCAAGGCTTCTCTTCCACTCACAGCAGGCTAGATTTCCTAGGCTTGTCAGATTCCTGAGGCTCTAGTGGGCATGCATTCTTCCAGACCAGTCTTCCAGAACTGGTTCAGACTTTACAATGGGTGTGCAATTATTTTGGGCAGAGAGCCACTTACTGAGTTTTGGCACAGCCCAGGCCAGATTAAAAAATTTAGAAAATTAGTATTTGGGGCTCCACGGGCCGGATAGAATGGCTTGGAAGGCTGCATCTGGCCCCTGGGCTGCATTTTGCCCACCCCTGCTTACAATATAATAACCCAAACTTGTTCATATTTCCTCTTGAAGCTTACTCTGGGGAGCTGCCTGAAAGCAAGATGAGCTAATGACTATAACGGAGTCAAAGCAGAGAAAGCTGGCTGTTTCCCTACAGGAAATATGCTTTTCTCTAGACTGTTTTGCTGCTGAAGTTTACCAACCATACCTTTCACACTGGTGTGCTAAACTGGCCAACCCATTTCCACAAAGTTGATGTTCATCGTGGTATTTAGCAAGGAGCAACATTGTTCTTCAAGTGTTTCTACTACCTGATGCTTCATAAAATGACAGTGTCGTGTCATTTTAAAATTTTGCAAGTATGACGCAATAATTACAATTTGTAATGAATCTCAAGATAGCAGCCTCTAAAATGTCAGGAACCAAGTGAGAAAAAATAGGATTATGAAAAAAGATTAAATAATATTAAGGTTCACGATCCCTACTTGGCTAAAAGTACTGGAAAGATATGGATCCCAGATTTTCTAGGAATGGCTTTCTCAAATCCTAGACCTCAGAAATGTCACTAGTACTCAATTTAAGAGGCCATTTTTGGCACTGATATGTCAAACCAGGGACCAGCATAATATTTATATCTTTCTTGGATGAATAACATGTTCAGGTGTTTATTCAGTGAATAGAACATATCCAAGTAGAAATGGGCACCCAAACCTAGTAATCTTGAAGATGAAGCCAACAGAGAGACTTCTCAGTCTGACTGAAAGAAGGCAGAAGGGTGGCATCTAAAGACTAAGTTGTTGACTGAGTGTGGTGCTATCCAAAGTACAGATTAGGTAGCTGTGTACCACCCTGCCCTGCCTTCTGCCTGACTTCAGAGTAACATAGTTAACTACCTCTCTCTGATTGAAAGAGGACACGTGAGAAGCAATTAATTAAGTTCTGTTGGAACACTGGAAGTTATGCATTCTTCCTCAGCCTTCCCAGGTTGCAGAATTGCTCCAAATAGTTCCTCAAAGAAAGAACAACAGATTTTTTTATTCATAAATGATTAGAGGCATGGGAGGCAAAACTTATGAGGAAAAGATGAAAGATTTAGTCTGGAGAAGAGATGATTGATGTCTGATTTTATAACAGTCTTGAAATACCTGAAGAGCAGTTATAGAGAGGATGAGATGGGCTTTTTTCTATCGCTGTAGGGGACAGGTCTAGGAGCAATGGACTCACTGCAGGAGAGGACATTTAGGTTGGAGATTAGGAGGAACCTTCTGACTATGAGAGTGGTCTACAACTGGAACAGGCTATTGGAATTGTGGAATCTCTACCCCTGGAAATTTTTAAGAACAAGTTGGACTGACACTTGTCTGGAATGATCCTCCCTTGAGCACGGGGGCCAAACTAGATGACCTTGTGAGGTCCCTTCCAGCCCTACTTTTGTGTGATTGTATGAATTCCTATAATTCACAAGCTGCTCTGACTCTACTACTTCTCCAGCTCTTGCATTTGTGGGGTTCAGACCTCTAGTTCCTTTACATTCTTTAATTGCTGCTTCAGTGATTTCCCAGCATACCACTCCAGCACCGTCACCTATGTGTTAGCAGCATCTTTGCATCCACTGTAACCGTTTAAAGCTGCTGAGAGTGAGAGTCAGGTTTAACCATCTGCTTTCCCTGCTTCCTGCCAGACAAATCCTTGTCTGTCTACATCCATGAACACTCCTTGGTTGGCAAGCAGGGGAAATCACTCAGACAGCTAATAGGATGTCTTTCTGCAGACATCTGAAATTTTTATGTTAATTTTTGCTGTGGGTGGGAAACAGTAATGAATGGCTCAGAAACTTAACTTAGTAATGGACTCTGAAACCTTCTCAAACCCAACCCAGGCTGACTGAAGCCAAAAGTTATTGCTAACTATGGGCCTGTGTCCTAGTGATGGCTACAACCTATTTAGTAGTGGACTAGTATCCACTTGACAGAAACTCACAGTGCTAGTGACAGTCTGTGCATAGTGATTAAAGAGTGTATGAACACAAATGAACTGAACTAATCTGTCACTTCTGTGTGCACCCAAGCATGTTGTCATTGCGACAGGAGTCCGCCACTGCCAGTGAAGTGGATAACCAGGGAAAACTACCAAGGGAACTTCAGTCTCCAGATGGGTCATTCCAGCACCTATCATCAGAATGAGTCCTTCAAAGTTTAAAACATGGGTGAAATTGCTTAACCATAACTGTGTTTTCTCGCATTCTATTTTGCTACCAAAGCTAGATTGGAATAGGGATTTGAGTGGGATAGACCCATTTAAAACTAAAGCATCCCTAGCTCTAGCTGTGACAATAGGACTCCCCAATATGGTTAATTAAAATAGAAGGCTTTTTTTGTAGGAGATCACAAACTTTATTAACCTAGAGGCACAATGTGGTAAGGGGATCAGCACTTCATGGATGGGTGTGCATGGGTGGTTCCCCAGAGACTGGCTGTGTGGGTGTAGGATACAGACAGTCAGCAGAGTCCAAGTCATGGTTTCCATGTTTCTTCCAGCTTAAATTTAGTAGCTGCTGTTCACACTTGTCTGGGATGTCTGTTTCTGAGGTAAAGTGATAGCTTCATTTCTGCTCTGAGTTCATCTTCAACCCTGTGAAGGCTCAGGCCATAAATATAATCTTCTGTGTAGACAGTTACCTGGTGCCAAGATAAAATGCCTTCTGGCTTCAAAACGAAAGCAACTGAGAAGAATTAATATGTGTGTGTGTGTGTGTGTGTGTGTGTGCGCGCGCGTGCACAGTATGGGGGAGTGTTGCCCAGAGTACTGTTTTTATAGTAGGACAAAATGTTGCCCTACGATTAGAGACAGGTGTCAGAGTTGCTTTGTCCTACAATTAGAAATGGTGCTAAAGTTTAAATCAATCACTATGAAACTTGTTTAACAAGTGGAACCAGATATGAAAAGTGTGGCTTTTCTGGGGTGGGGTTTTGTAACTTCCATTTTATTTGGTATTTGAGAAGAATTCTGGAACTTCAGATCTGACTGAGCGCAAGAAGGGGTAGGTCTTGTGAACATCCATGATAGAGCTTCCTGCCTTGGTGAAGGAGGAGTACAATAAGCAACGTGGCAAAGAGAAGGGTGAAAACTTCATACACCCAGACTATCCTTTGGAAAGGACCCAACGGTTGAAAAAAGTCAACAGCAACAGCTCCCTCTGAACTGGTCTCATCCAGGCTGTGTTAACAGTTAAGTTAATTTGTGTAAGCAATGATTCAATTTCTGGGCTTGTTTGTGGTGTTTGTGATGTGCCTGGTATTAGAAACAAACTAGTTCAATTCTCTGTTACTGTAAGACAAATAGCTTCTATGCAAGGAGGTGCCCAGCCCAGAAGAAGATAGTATAAGTTCTCCACATCAATCAACTTGGCCATGGCTAGAGCCAGCAATCAACTCTGCAGCCATTGTAAGCCCTTAGAACCATATGCAGTCAGAGCTTACATTATTGCAACCTTTAGGCTCTTATTCCAAGGGTTGAACAGGTTCTCTTAGGGCTCCACATTGTGGCAGGCAGAAAGGTGATTTAAAGCCACCATTGCCCTCTCTTCTGTCTGTCTCTGCCTCTAGCATAGCATTTGTCCAGCAGGCTGGCTGCTTTCTCTGGGGCACAATCAGTCAGCTCCTTCTCATGTAAATGTAGATGTACTGTCCTCTGTTCTCTAGTGCAGTGGTGTTCAACCTTCTGTCCTTGTGGGCTGGATGAGTGATGTGGGGCTAGTTCACAGGCTGGATGTAGTACGCAGGGATGGCAAAATGGGTCAGTCCATGAGTGTGATCTGCTGTAGGCACTGGACCAACAACAAGTGCAAGCTGATCTTTTGCATTAGATCTAACCATTCCCCATTTCGGTCACTGCACTGAGTCCATCTATATGCTGACCTGACCCCACAGGCCATATCTGGCC